ATTTCAAGGAGTATAATTAATGCTTTTTTCCTGCTTATTTGACTTGCTTGTCACGATACATCCCCCATCACATGGCCTTACTTTCTCATCTTCTTAATGAGGAACCTCCGTTCTGTTCTTTAAACATATTTCAGACCTGAATTGCTTTGTAGTTCTCTCTGCCAATGCCTCATGCATGGATTTCTCAGATTCTGGCAACTGCATGTCTTAGCGTGGAGAGCAGTTCTTTCCCACCAACCCTTCAGCGAATGGTTTTGTCTTGTCCATTTCCTGTACCTCCACAGAACTAATCAGCCCACTACAGTTCACCTTTTTTTTCCTGCACAGCCTGGGATAATCTGCTTCTTCCTGGCAGCAGTTACATTTTTATCAGTTTTGTAAGGTTAATTAATGTAGCAGCCTTCAGTCCCAGTCCTCTTAAATATGTAGTGGAAGAAGCTGCAAAAAGCTAGCTGCAAAAAACAAGCTGCAAAGCCTGACTTGGTTGAACTGCTGTTGAAGTTCTGAATTGCATTCCCAGCTTGAGGTTTTCCTCCAGTGCGTTCCTACTCACCCACGCACAGGACGAGTGAGGTCTTTTCCTACTGTGAAACATGTGAGACCTCCAACTCAGCAGCAGGACAGGAGGCTGATGGTGACGATGAGCAGGCCAGGGGCTGGGAGGCGTTCAGATGTGGGAATATTGCTCCAAGGGAGCTCAGAAATTCCCTTCTGCAGCTCTGGGACGGAGCTGGATGTCTCACCACTGTTAGTCTTTCTGTCTGTCTTCTTATCAGATTAATCTCCATGAGATTAACATTGACTTTAAACTCTTTCAAGTCATTATGACAAGTGTACACGGCAGTAAATTCTTCCATATCAAGAGTGAAACAAATTGCCCTGCGCTGCGTATTATGGTGCAGTACTGCTAATTGCTTAACTTGATAAATGCCTTCTGATAGGTTATATAGTTAATGAATAAAGATGTTAATTGCTCTTATCAGAAACAGCTACATTTGCAGGGGCGTTCTCTGGAGCCATGGATGTCTCCTAGGAGAGATTTATTTCAAATCGTCCATTGTTTTCAGCAGTTTCAGAGTCCAGGCTGAATAGTCTCCACCCCCATCAAAGTTTCGAGAGCAATCAACTCTTCCTACACATTATTCAGCAAGGCTAAGTCTTAGTTGGATATGGGTATGGCAAACTTACTGCAAGTACAGCATGCTCGCGTTCCCACTATATAGCAGCATGTTAAGCCTGTTAAGAGCAGCCAAGGGAGAGCTAAGCACCTGAGAGTGGAAGAACAAGGGCCTGGAACATCCCTATTTCCTCCCATCAGCTGGAGTGCTTAATTGGAAAAATCATTCTTTATTGTTGTTGTGTTGGTGGAAGCTGTCAGTCCAAATATACTTTAATGCAAATAACCATCTATAGTTGTAGAATTCATGTTTTCTAGATGCTCTTTTTGGAAAATATGTAGCTGAAGGTCTAGTACACGATTATATGAGTAAGTGCCTAAAAACATCATATTAACAATGGACGTCATGTTTATTCTTTCCCTTTTAGAATTTCCCATGGAAACAAGTGGGCAGATTTTTGCATTATTGAGTAGTCTGCTGCTGCTGACTTTTCCCAGAAATGCTGAGAGAAAGCTACCCTTACACGTGAGCCTGAATGTTCTTCCAATTTTGGGAGCACTGATTCCCCCAAGATTTGATTTATAGTGGGTTTTGGTGCGTGGCTATTCTGGAACCAAGTTGTTTCAAAGCTGTGTGATTAATAAATCTTTGCAGAACTGGAAAAAAAAAAAAAAAGCAAAGTTCTCACTGAGTTTAAAACATACCTGATTTCCCAATGGAAAAAGTTGCATGTTTCGTTAGGAGGCTAAAGGCTAACATGAAGGGAAAATTGATTCCATGTCTTTGGGTTTTTGTTTGTCATAATAAATTTCTTTCTCATTTATGAGTCTCTTAGAATTCTTCAGGACTTGTTCAGCAGCAGGTAGTTAGCCAGAAGTTAGAGCTGTAAATGGAAATCTGGAAATTGACACATGCAGGTTCTCTGGACAGAGTTTTCTAAGTCAGGCTTAATTCTGTAGAGTGAAGGAGAAGGGTGCATTATCTTGCTTCCTGTGACAGATTTCAGGCTTTGCCAAGAAACATAAATTCCCTCTTCAAAAAATGACAGCTATAAAAATAAGAATTATTATTTTCTTAAATAAAAACGTTTTCAACTCAACTTGATTTATTGCTCCTTAAAGGTGCTGTGGTTTTGGAATGTGAATGTCTCACACTGCTCATCAGTGGTGCAATATTCTGTTCCCCTATGTTATGTTAATGTGCACGTTTCTCTTTCATGTTACAAATCAGATCGAACCAGCTAAAAAGTATTCTGGTAAATGTCTGAAATGTATTTTCAAACATCTGAATCCACATTTCTGGTCTTCCGTGTTATGGTTTGGGTTTTCCATGGAGTGAGCTTTGGGTGGGGATGCAGCTCCTGAGTTCATGCGAGTGAGACCTGCTGGCAGATGGGGAGGTTGAGGACTTGTGCTGCATCTTCGTCAGCTGCGGTGATTCAGTGATTGACATGCACATACCTGAGCATCAAAATTGCCTGTGTTTTAAGATGAACCGATGACTCAGTCTGCAGTTTTACCTCAGGCCATTTCCTGATAAATGGCTGAACTGTGCTCGGTCTTGTGAAAGCACAAGGAGCACCCCTCTGTCCTCGCTTCTGTGAGTGCCCAAGGCTCTGGGAGGGGACACTGATGTGGGGCTGACCTTTGGCCTCTGCACCCAGCATCTCCTCGAGCTTCTGGGACTCCTCATGCTCCAGGGCAGCTTTTGAGTATAGGACAGCAAACAGTTGAAGTAAGGCTTTGTGTGAGGTGTAGCTGGACACAGAGGATGGAGATCATAGAATCATAGAGTCACCTATGTAGACACCTCCAAGGTCATCCAGTCCAACCATCCACCTACCACCAATGTTTCCCACTAAAGCCTGTCCTTCTGTACAACATCTAAATGTTTCTTGAACACGTGTTACACGAAGGACTCCATTGGCTCCTTTCTCTGGGTGGAAGCACCATGTCATCTGTATAGTACCTGTTCAACAGCTCAAATTCTGTGAGAATTCAAGTCTTCTTCAAAGTTAATGGACTGCATTAAGGGCAGTCAGCACCTTTGTGAGAGAGAAATTCAAATTGCCTTGATTCATCTCATTTTATGTTTGCATCGTTCGATCTGGGATTTCTCCCTTCTCCAGTCTTTCAGGGCATGTTTTTGATATCTTTGCCTCCTGAGTATACTAGATTTTCAGCTGGCTGTTTTCATATTTTTCCCTGAGTGTTGTAATGCTGATTACCAAAGGATCTTGGGCCTTTGGCTTCCTGTGAGAACAAGATAATTACTCTCCAGTAGGCAACGCGTGACGTACAGTATCAGCATTAAGCCACTGGGATTCCAGTTACTAGTGTAGAACAATATTGCGGTAACGAATAAGCAGAAGTTTATCATACTTCCTGCATAACAAGGTTTTTGTTAAAGAGACAGTGAAAATTGTTTTCAGTGAGGGCTAAAGCAAAATGAGCCCTCCTGTAGCAAGCGTTGTTTAAAATGATATTGAAGTTCAGTTCGTAGGCTTGCTGACTGACTTTGTTGCAGCAAAGTTCTGTGGTGGGGTCACCAGGTATGTTTTGAACAGTGCAGTTCATGGCCTTATGACCATGTATGAAAAGAACTTAAAAGTCATTTCCAGCTGTACCACCCACATAACTTACAGAAGAAAGCCATGCCAACAAAATGTAGGGACCTTCCAAATGCAGCTTGCTAATTTCACACTCGCCCCCAGAATCTCGTGTTGTGATGCTCAGAGTTGGTCCCATTTGCCCCCAAACATGATGTGTTTTTTCTTTTGGTTTCTTATTTTGAGACCATCAATTAAAAAGAATCTGTATATTGGGCACAGTGGGAGTAAGTTTATGAAGTTTCAGTTAGATGTAAGCCAGCAATAATAAGAACATATTTCATAAGCGTAATCAGCTCCATTCACTTGCAAGATGTGGCCATCACAAGGGCTTATCCACGTGGGGGGATTAATCAGCATTCCTGCAGAAGAACAGTTAACTCTGCCATAGCAGTATTGATCAGTTTGCTTACAGTGTAGTGCAGTGAAATGGATGTTGTCTTTGAGGGCATCTGTTAAAACAACACAAAGTGCAGTGTGTGTATGTGTACCCAGCACGTACACACCTATAGCTCTGTGTATTTACTCATATGTGGGATATAACTTTATGTGAGCTTGTGTATATACATTATTTCAGCTTATCTCTATTTCAGATATGATTGTACTTCTGCAATGCTGAAGAGCTATCAGGATGCTAATAAGGAGTTTCCTTATTTCCTTGCTGCTATCAATGTATGTTGTACATGTGACTGCAATGTGTGGTTATGTATGCTTTAATTGTGACTTTTGCTTGAAATTGGGTGTCAGCAGTATCTGCAGTTTGGAACTGGTACTTGCATATGAGCAAAGATGAGTGGGTTGGGTGCTCTGCTTTTGATTGTGTTTTTATGAGATGAGGACAGCCAGGGAGAACGAGGATGTTTGGAATAAAACCACCTAAACACAAAATACTTCCATCTGTGTGATCAAGATGCTTCTTACGTTGAGTGCATGAGTGTGGTCAGACACCTTCACAGCTCAAGTTGGTGGTTTGAGACCCCAGTGAAATTTAGTTAGACGTTTTAGTATTCCATGCTTCTGAATCTGGTCTGTTTGGTTTTTGTTTGTTTATTTATTTTTGTGGGTAATCTTACTTGAACAAGTTGGATGAAATTGATTAGGCTGATCTCTCTGCTGAATGGCCAGTGTAGGTATTTTATTTCACAGTTTTACAATGTATTGCAGCTATTTTCATCATCAAAAATAACTTTGATGGTACTGTTCATACTTTGAAATTGTGGATCTTCTGATGATAAAGTAAAACTTTTTTTCCCCTCTCCTTTGTTTCCTTGCAGCCAACTGGGTACATGGAAAACTCCATTTCCTACAGTGCTATTGAAGATGTTCAACTGCTGTCCTGGGAGAACGCCCCTAAGTACTGTTTACAGCTCACGATCCCGGGGGGTACTGTCTTACTTCAGGTACAGTAAACACAGAAGTAAATTCTCTTTCTTTAACTATGAATCTCCTTGATTTTTTATTTGCTGTTTGTGAAATCTAGTCCTAATTACCTGGGCTCAGAAAAGGCAGAGAACTCTGTGGTGTGAAGATATCTTTCTGCCACAAATCAGCTCAGTGATCGCTCTGGAATGGTCCACGTTGGTTGACAGTCAGAGTGAGATCTGTGGGGCACGATTTAATCTTCTTGTTCATCATACACATCAAAGTAGTGCTTTATGAAAAGGAACACTAATTTGAACCTGGAACAATCAAAACTCAAGGAAGATCAGCTTGTATAGGAAACCTATATCTGGCAGTGGAACAGACACCACGTATCCTTTTTTAAAGATATTTGATCTTCACTGAAAGATTTCAGATGAGGCTGTGTATTGCAGCCTGCAGCTTCCTCATGAAAGGGAGCAGAGAGGCGGGTGCTGATCTCTGCTCTCTGATGACAGTGATTGAGCCCAAGCAAACAGTGTGGAGCTGCTCAGGAGAGGGTCAGGTTGAATATCGGGAAAAGGTTCTTCACCAGGGAGTGCTCAAGCACTGGAGCAGCCTTCCCAGGGCAGTGGGCATAGCACCGACCTGCTGGGGTTCAAAAAGTATCTGGACACTGTTCTCAGATATATAGCTTGAGTTTTGGTTTGCTCTGTGTGGAGCCAGGAGCTGCACTCAATGATCCTTATGGGTCCCTTCCAACTTTGTCTGCTTGGTGATTCTATGATTTGCATGGGACACTGCATTTTTGTTATTCCAGGTTTCTTCATCCACTGGTGAGGCTATACAGGGCTCCTTAAGTCGCTGCATGTTCTAGTGATAGAAGAGCATTCCACAGCTCTGACCTTTGGAATTACTTCAGATTAAGAAAAGTGACTGAACACCCAGCTGATTGATCCCCCCAAAATTATAAACAGCCATAACTTGAAAAAGACTGAAGTGACTCCAGCTTAGCTCAGAGAGTATTCTCAGCATTGTCACAAAGACAAATTGTTCTGTTTCCCTTTGTTTTTTTAGATGAATATACAGTCACAATTGTGTATATGCACTTCATGTGGCTAGGATGGTAAACAGACTGTGGAGTGATTTCTGCAGAAATGGTGTAGAAAGATTAATTTAAACTGTGGGAAATCAATACGAGTAAGACTTGTAGTGCTAAGATGACTCCAGCTCTTCTCTGCCTTTGTTTTGGATGGCTGGTGGGCCCATTCATACACAGAGCTGTTTCCCAGTAGCTCAAGGGAGCACAGAGCTTGACCTCAGCCCTCCAGGGGGGATTGGGATTGTTTTGGAGTGTCATAAAGATATCATCAGGTTGTGATGACTTTCAACATGGCAAACATGTGGTCACTCAGAAATGGTTACATGTGTATGTTGAAACATCCATGGCCACCTCCTTTGTGGAGGATGTTTCTGGAGCTCCTTTTCCTTTACCTTACTGGTGTAATCATAGAATCGTTTGAGTTGGAAGGGACCTTTAAAGGCCATCTAGTCTGACTGCCCTGCAGTGAGCAGGGACATCTGCATCTCAATCAGATTGCTCAGAGCCCCATCCAGACTGACTTTGAATGCCTCCAGGGATGGGGCACCCATTACCTCTCTGGGCAACCTGTGCCAGTGCCTCATTGCTCTTATTGTAAGAAACTTTTTCCTTTTGTCCCATCTAAATCTCCCCACTTTTAGTTGGAAGCCATTTTCCTTGTCCTGTCAGAACAGATCCTGCTAAAGAATCAGTCTCCTTCTTTCTTACAGCCCCACTAAAATCCTGGGGTTCTACAGTCCTGTGAACGTGGGATACAGACCTTCCCCTAGTGCAGCTCTAGTGCGTTCGGGATGACCTAAGGATGTCTAATCCTGTAGGCTCTCCTGGTGCCAGGGTAGCATTTGCACAGACGCGTGTCCCGTTGCATACAGTGCACGCACACGTGCCTCTGCTTGATGCCCAGCAAACATTGCTGTGGCTCAGAATGAATTGCTGATCTGAGGCGTTTCCAGGGAGTGTGTGGAGCCTGAATTTCAGGCAGGCTGCTGCAAGTCCACCTAAGTCCTGATTGTGTGGTAGGAAAAGCCTCTATAGTGTGTGACAGTGGGGAAGGCAGGCAAACAAACCATGGTTTCCTAACAGCTAGATTAGGGTCCTCATTACTGATAAAATCTTCCTTGCTTAATTCATCAATTGAATAAATTAGAGAGAAACTCATTTGTCAAGGTGGACAATTTTGATTTTTTGTGAGATAATTCTGATTCTTCTATAAATTTGCTTACTAATGCTGGCATTTGTGTTTGTATCCATTTCAACAGCTGGAATGGTTAAATTTGCCTTTCAAAATTCTGTCTTTATTGCATAGCTTATGGTGGCTGCCTTTACTGGCCTGCTTAATAGGAAAGAAGATAAAATGTGAACCCACAGCTCCCTGCTGAGTTTAAAGGCAGTGTGTTAGGGCATACAGAATTGGATCTGGAGTGGCCTGCCGTGTATTTCTTTAAAATAAACAAACTCCACAAATAATTATGTTCTTTTAAGAATGAATTTACTTTCTTCAAATAGATTGATGCCTTTATGTAACCTCCTAGGAACTGATACAGAAATGCAGTCAGCTCTTCTTCAGTTAGGTTTTTTGTGGACTGTCCATGCAGAATGGATCAGTTACAGTATGACTCTGTGGGAATTTCAACAGAACTGAGAACACAAGCTTTGAAAATGTTTTTAGTATTATTTAATCCCCAGCAGTGTCTGGGTTCATCAAACATGACCAGATCAGAGGGAATGTCAAAATAGATTTCTCATATACGGCTGTAATGTGTATTCACAAATCTAAAACATTACTGAAAATGATACAGTGTACTTAAGAAATCAAAATACAGGAGTGGATTTCTCCAGTAGTTACGTTCAGCAGACGTACTCTGGTATATGTGACACTCCTGAGTATCCAAAAGAACTGTTCAGTGAGGCGCTGAGAAATTGAGATGCTGAGAAATTAGCTCTTGCATGCTCCAGTTATTTTCAGATTTCCGAGACGCTTCGATATATTTATGGGAAATTGGGACTTCAGATCTTTTATAAAATCATTCAGCCCTGCTAGTCTGAGCAGCAGCACTCTGATGTAACGTCAGGCACCGCTGTCAGGAAGTGTCTGATGGTGGAACAAGTCAGACAGGTCCAAAGTGTGTTCCCAAGGTTTCTTCTGAAGTGCACTTGTGAAATCTGTTTGCTGCTTTTGTTTTTGTTTCCCCTCAAAGACTTGATCTAAATGAGATTTATGTGTAAGAAAATGTTTAAATGAATTCTTTTGACTTCTACTCCGTGATTTATTTCATGTCGCTGATTAATTTTAGTTCTGTGTTATGTCTTTGTTCGTGCTGTGTTTCATGAACTCGTTAATACCACAGGATACTACTGAGATAATTCGACATGAAATGAAGCACATCAATAGTTACGAATCACAGGTTTACCAGATTAAGGAGAAGTCTAGAATTTTATCTTCTGTTTCACTGGTTTGAAGCAGAAGCAAACTTCAGGTAGCTGGAAATTCCCTCAGAATGGAAATTCATTCCCAGCAGTTCTCGTGGGAGGCTGTCAGTGTGTGGCATTGGGACATCCTCTGTGTGTGTCTGCGGTAGGCATGAGAAATGCCACCAGAGAGACTCGAGTCCGTGTTGGAGCTCTCATTCCTCTATCTGCTATCACCAAGGCCTATTTCTGGCTTATTACTGCACAGCAATGAGTCAGAGAAGGAAGAGTGCCATTACCTTTCCTTACATCATCCCAATGTCCTCCCCAAGCAGTACTGACCCATCCCAACCCACCTGAACACGTGAGATCTGACAAGTAGTGCCGGAGGTGATGCAGCTCTTGGGAAATCAGATCGTGATAATGGGACACATCTACCTGGGTTTCAGGGGAGGATTTGGTTCTCAGGCAGCACATGGCTTCATCTGGGCTGGGCTGGTGTTGGAATGTCAGCATGGTGGGTGTGCTTTCTGCTTGGGTTTGCCTGAGCATCCATGTATGCCATGGGTTGGCAACAGCACTGGGGAGCTCGGCCCATCCATTGTGTGTGCTGGGACTGCAGGGACAAGCAGGGATGGTCAGAGACAACTTCTTCACCAGTGTGTCATGCTCTCCTTCCTCTGGCCAGCTGGTTTTGGTCCCTGGTTCTCCCAACATGAAGCTGTCAGCTCTCGTGGGCTTTTTCTTTGCTTTTCTGCAAAGAAGATAGCAGGTGTGACAGGGCTGGAGCTGGCTTGTCGCACACGAGCTTTTTAGGATAGGAAATAAGAGCTAAATAACTGTGAGCTCTTCAGTATCAGTAATAGACTGTCCTCTTCGTCTGTTTTCTTGCTTTCTGTTTGTAAGGCATGATGTGCTTTGTGGTGCTGCGTGAATGCTAATGAAAGTGATGCTGCTATTGATAGTGAAATAGCTGCAGCAACCTATTGAAAGTGACTGAGAGGGGGAGAAGCTTATAATTTCACAAGCTGTTTAGCAGCAAATGTAGGAAGAGTCTCAGAAAAGAGGCTTTGGTATTTTGGCTGTGATGGTGCTCTCCCATAGTGTCATCTCTTTTTGGATGGGTTGTGAGTGCCATGGAGCTGCTGCCTCCATCCCTCTGCTCGTGGTGTATTCATGTCTTGGGGTGCTCAGAAGGAAGGGCAGGCAGGGCAGGAAACCCCGACGGGCACAGCAGCCGCATGCTCAGCTCAGCCCTGTGTTAGCCAGAGAGTCCCCATGGTAAATATTTTCACTGGAATTTTTGATAATGTTATGTTTCAGTCTCCTTGGAGGCCCCTGTCTCTGTTTAGATGTGATGAGGAAAGCATGACAAAAACTCATCCTGTGATGACATAAAACCATAAAGGCAGGACATCCTGCTGACCAGAGAGCAAGCGAGGGGGAGAAACACAAATACAGAGTAAACCCAGGGAGAATGAAAAACAGAATCTGGATCCTCAAACCCTACTTATTGCCACATCTCTTCAGATGGCAGAATCCCATAGACTGTGTGTGAAGGGTGCTGTTGTAAGGAGAAACATGGGAACTTTCTGCTATGTGGACAAGCCTGTTCTTGCATTCTGAGTAACACACATGCCTGTAATGAATGATACTGTTGTACTGACTTACTGTTAGAGAGGCTTGGTAGCATGGCACATGTAGTATGATGGATGGGATGTTTTCTGCTGTTGCTGGCTGCTGCAGGCACGTTCTCTCAGCAGAGCTGTGAATATCTATATTGGCTGTAGGTCTTCATCGTTGTTCTTCAAGTGCTTGCTTTCTTACACAGGTTCAGATGCTCTGTTTCTCAGCAGTGCACAAGTTCCTGCTTTGTCTGCTTTTACTTGGGTGGAAATTGCTGCAGGGACTTTAGTACTGGCATGCAAAAAGAGTTGGATTTCTTAGGAAAAAAACCTCTACTTTCTAGAAGTTCAGTGCTTTTTAATGACAAAGTGCATTCTTACTCACTGGCTAAGAGGTGAGGTGCTTTGGGTGCAGAAAAAAATACTTCCCCTTTTAAACAGAGATGCACGTTTGTTTATGTTACCAAAGCTCAGTATATGCAGGTATTTAATCTCCTGTGCAGCTTTCCTTCTGTGAGCAATCTTTTCTAAACTGTTGAAATGAATGCTGTGAATGATGCTGGCACTGCAGCTGGTCCCCAGTGGATTTTCCTCTCTGACTGAGCGTTTGCACCCCAACGATTGGAACATAAAACCCTTCAGGACTCAGTTCCAGGATGAACTCATCTTTGAAAACAAAAAACAAGAAACCCCACCATAGAGAAGTACTGCTTACAGCAGGCTTTCTTCAAGCAGCTGTTCTTGCTGCTCATTGGGATCACAGGTAGACAAAGGAGCTACATGTAGTTTCAATCTTCTTGCATGTTCTATAGATTTTACTGCCTAATTTTCCTGTTTTCTAAAGTTCTTCCCTATGAGAGAACAGTGGAGGGCCTTAACTATGCAGACAGCTCCAAACTATGGGGCACCCACCAGCCTGCTAAAGCCATTGAATTTGGGATCAAAATTTGGAGCAGAACTGGGCTCTACAACACACATGGTATCCAAAGTGTCATTTTATGTAGATAGATAGGAATGAAGTACACTGTATGGTTTGGAGCTCACTGTCTTCAGCCTCAGAAAAGTACAGTAACCTGGACCCCTGGGTGAGTGTGGTGTGTGCCGTGGTGGCCAGTGAGCATCCAAAATGCTTCCAGTAAAAAAGAAATATTTCTGAATGCTCCCTTTGTAGGTGCAAACCTGGAGAAGAGGGAGGGATGTGGGATGCTGTGCTGGTTCGTGTTGTTGGCTGAGCCCTGCTGAGGTCAGGTACTCCCTGCAGCCAGCTGTGGTTTTGTGGCTGGCCAGGCGGAAGGCTGTGCAGCAGGATTAGTGCCCATGGGGAGAGCTGCTGCCAGGCTGCTCCATCCTGATAATGCTGCTGAGGTTAAAGGAGCTCTGCCTATCTGTGCTGAACACTGTTGAAAGAGCTGCTGAAGGAACCACTGGTGTTCTAGGTTCCTCTTACTGTTGACTCCTGATCGCTAATAGAAGAGGGAATTCCCTAAAGGTTTGTTTTTTTGTGTTCGCTTTGTCTTCTTTGTTTTCCTTGGAAGTGATCTTGAAAAGATGAACTCTGGCAGGTTCTAGTTTGAGAGCTGTTTGTGTTGTAACATGTATCCAGATGCAAACTTCCTTGCAAACTATCACTTTCCAATAGCCAGTGTGTAGTCTACCTGTTGATGATGCATTGTTACTTTCCTAATTTTCCTTTTTAAATGCTATTTGAAGGCCACTGCTTTCAAGTTTCAACTCTTTTCCAGTTTGTTTTGTGGTCTTTCACATTGTGTTTCCTTTGTTTGCTCTGTATTTGCATTCCACCGATGTCTCTGACTGATGCTGTTGTTCTCTGTAACAGTTTCTGTCATCCAATTTAAGGCTCCAGTTGGTTGCAGAATCTATCTGTACATATTACAAATTCTATTTATTTATGGCATTCTTACAATCTGCAGATAATGGCATCCCCAAACAAGGAGGGTAACTACCAGTTCTCAGCAGTTCCCATCATAGGGCTCTAGCATTTGCTCTTTCTTTAGGCTCAAGTGACTGCTGGCTCAAGGCATGTAATGGTCAGAATAGGGATTGAGGCAGGGTGGCATTTTGCCTGATTAAGAGAAGTACTGCTGGAATACGAGGGTTGGTGTAGGAGTGGGGTCCAAGAAGCACTTTGGGGGAAGTTGTTTCTTAGCTTTGCACGGGCCAAAAAGACAAGAATTTCTTTCAGAACAGAACATTTCTGACTTCCTAGAGGAGAGTGGCTTAGTCTGGTGGCAGGAGGAAGTCACTGGAAGTCACTTGCCCAATGGCTTGTGGGCTTCTGGCCTCACTTGGGTTACTGTGCTTAAAAATACGTATATATACCCTGACAAAGTTGTTAATGGACTTGTAGTTCCGGACAGAGCACTACAAATACCAGCTGTTGCAGTTCTTGAGAGTCTTACTGGCAGTGACGATGGTTCCAGCTGACAGTCTGTACTTCAGCTGTGGCCACTTCTGTTCCTCCTCTTCTCCCTGCAGGCTGACAGGTTTTTCCCATGGGTAACGATACACGAAACTCGAACTAGCATCATCATGAGCACTCACTTTGACAGGGATGTTTGTCCAGAAAACACAGCTGGAGTTTTTATTCCCGTTCAAGAAGGACATTTTTTGAGAGAGGGAATGAGAGCGTGTGTTGGAGAAAGAAAGTGCCTGAGCGTATTTACTTTGTGCCTTTGTAATTGTGTCCGAAAATGATCTTCATGTCCTGTTGCGTCAAATTATTTTGGATCTTTTTGTTATATTAAAATGGAGTAAGAGCTGCATTAAATGAAGTTCAATCCTGTAACATATTTAGGGAAAAGATCTGTCTTGAATATATACGAGTGGTAGCAAATTTGTGTTCTGAAGTGTCAACATTCTGCACGAGGTGGAAATTCTGTGTTTAATAAATGCTGTGATCAGCCCAGACCGTGATAGATTAATTCTGCTGTAGTGCCTAGAGATCTACTGGGGAGCAATCCATTGTCATCTATGTATAAAAATAAATAATGTGTAATACAGACGTAAAAAGAGCATTACTGCATTTAGTCCTGAGAAATGGGTCCAAATTTGTGTCACTGTGAGATCAGTATCTGACCTTGGGATTAAACACAGGTTTGGTAACCACGCAGCGTTTTTCCTTCTAGTATTCTTGACGTTATCAGTGAACTTTGTCAGGAAGTGAAATCCATTCTGCAGTGAATACTTATCTAAAAAGGTGTTGGAGAGTAAAATTGTTGAAGGATGCTTTAAATTGCTGGAAGCATGTGTTTTTTCTCTAGCAAAGAAACCATACCCTTTTAATACAGACAGATGGGCTGTTCTTTCTCACTGATTGTGTAAAGCATTTTGATTTGCAAGTAAAACTTGCCCACTGGCAGGGACAAGATAGAGCTGGAAAAGCCAAAGGGCATCTCTACCCACTCAAATATTTCAAACTTATGTCACCTTGTTAAGGCATGCGTATTTACGTCACTGTGGATGCTTTTATATTTTTTGATACCGAGCCTTTTGACCTTTGGGAGTGCTGAACTGTTCCTTCGTTGGCTATGAACACTGGGAATTTCTGGCAGCTCTGCTTAAAACGGGTGATCCCTGGGAGCAGTTATTGCAACATTTGTGCAGTTGCTGCGAGCAGCCCATGCGTGTGTGTGCATGTCTGCCTGTGCTGTGCTTTTCCCTCTGTTCTAATATCACTGAAAGAGCTGAGGTGTGATGGAAGCACGTTGTGGCCAGCTGGGGAGCAGCGCAAGGAGGGAGGCTGTGAATGGAAAAAAACAGTACGTCCCCAGTAAAATGTCAGCCTGTCTTTTTCCTCTGTTCGCAGTGATTAATGGAGATAGCGAATGTCCTGCAGATATTAAAGAGCTGATCAAAACCTGATTGAAATCACTGAGGTTTTTTTCACAGTCTTTGGTCTGGACACCATTTCAAGGAGGTTAATGTTTCATACGGTTTTGGTTCAGTGTTTTATATTTGCAGCAAGGTCTTCATGTCATTGCTTTCTATGAAAATAAATTGGTTATAATGTAAAACTGGAGCTCTGAGCAGAGTTTCCCTCCCTCCAATTAGGCTGGGGTTGGAGTTGGCCAAGGTCATAGAGTTCAGATGAACACGGCGAGTGCAACCTTGCTGCTTTTAGGCCACACATGGGTGACTTGCTTAGCTTTGGCTCAGTGATCTGAAACACTGATAGAAACTAATGATTCTATTTGTAACTTTTTTTATTGCAGGCTGCAAACAGTTACCTGAGGGATCAGTGGTTCCATTCTTTGCAGTGGAAGGTAAGTTCTGCACTTTACAGTTTCCTTGTGTATCTTTAAGAATACGTTTTAACAGTGCTCTTTCCTTGGTTGCAAGAGCTATGAGTGTCTCTTTTCATCCACAAACCCTAAATCAGAACGTCTGTGAGTTTTTTGGATGAAGTGGACACATCCGTTTGTTACACAGCTTGATGTTATCAAGATAGTGAGTAAATTGATATAGAAGCAGAATGGTTTTGGATTTGCACTGTGAATTGTAACATATTATGGAATGACTGGAGCCCTGGCATATGATCAAGGCTCTTGGTATACTTGGGTTTATATATTTTTTTTGTTTTTGTTTGCTTGTTTGGAGAAATTTTGGAGAAAGAGCATCTCTTAGAGCTACTTGTTGTAAGTAACATCAGCCTGTTATGCAGAAGTCTGTGTCCACACTTTGGAATTATTTAGTTCTCAAGGCAGTTTCCATTGCAGAGGTCTCAGCCCTTTCTTGCGCTCTACCAGAACAATGAGCTGCTTGCTCTGAGCAGGGGCAGTGGGTCACAGTGACAGCGTTGTGTCTCGAAGCAGAACATTCCTCATCACAAGCTGAAGCTGCTGACCTTTGGATGGAATCTGTATGGATGTGAGATGCAGCTGTAAATCAGCTGTGGCCAGATGCTGAGCACGGCTGTCCACCATCCTGTGGTGCAATGCCAAAGAGCAGCTCTGTAGCTCAGGCTTCTCCTTTCAGGGTTTCAGTGAAGTCAGCCAGGTTAGCTGCACAGTTTATCAAAAGTTCAGCCTGCTGACAGCAACCACATGTGAAAATAGAAGGAAGTCCCTCCCACCAAATTGATTTTGCTGTGGGTGTTTCTGATACTCCTGCTGTTGGAAAATACTTGGGTGACAAAAGTGCAGTGTTTGTGTGCTTTGCATAGCCATCAGTGTCTGTCAGAATTGTGTTCTGAGCAGGTCCAGGTTCTTATCAGCAGGAGCCAGGTGTCGACAACTTCTTTTCCAGACCACTGGCAAATTCTGCAACCTGTTTCCCCAGTTGTTGAAATGAGCACGGGACAGTGGTACTGATAGCAGAAGGCTGGGCTGCAGTGTGGCACTGTAATTTGGCTACTTGACAGCATCATTAACACAGTGCTGTTCTGGTCTTGCTTTCTTTGCAACTCCTGAAGATAACAAAGAGGCAATGAAGCTTAAAGCATGCAGAAAGTATCTCCCTTAATTCCCTTCTCTTTCGACAGGCAGAGATGATCAGAAAAAGGCAGAATTTCTTATTCTACATGGTCACCAAGCAGGACATATGAGGCACTGGTGTGATGCCAGCGCATGCTTCCCTCCTATAACAAAGCAAAAATCAGGCTTGGAAGCGCAGCTCTGAAAAACGTGAGGAGTGTAAAGATGCAGCCTGCTCACCCCCTGCCCACCCCCCAGTTCCCATCAATGTAATGACAAAGAAAACGTCTGGGCAGTGACCTGTTTTGCTCATATGCCTCTTGGTTGTGGAGAGGGAGCGTTGCTCTGTGGGAGTTGTTTTTAAAAGAGTATTTCTTAAACTTTCCAATGCTTCTGACCAAGCCTCTAATTTTGGGAAACTCTGAGTGATTTGACTTGTTGCAAAGTAGATTTTATTTTTGCTTCCTTGCTTCCCTCCCCACCCCCAGTAAGTTCACTTTTGAAAAACAAGTGAAACATTATCTTGATTTGAAAGACCTTCCCTTTACCAAGAATAGCAACTAGCTTTTTCCCATAAGAACAAGGACAGGGTTTAGTCACTGCTCAGGTACTTTACACTAACAAATTCCTCTTTGCTAACATGGAGGTAGTTTTGATGGGTTTTGTAGCTTAGCAGCGGGAAGGTACACCTGACAGCTTTCTCCTCTGTACTTTGGAGGACACTGGGCAGCTGTAAGTAAAACCACTGCAGAACTAAGAGGCACGACAAATGTTGTGCCTAGGGAGAGACCGGAGCAGCGCAGTTGCATGAGCTGCCCTTGAGAAGCTTGCTGCTTTAGCCTATGGCTGTAAGAGCCAGGTGCCCATGAAATTTGCATGTTTTGATGATTAAGCAGGTAGTGAGGGAACCCGCACAAAGCTACGAAGCCTATTCTGCTGGAATGAGTCTATTTACACAAAGCACCAGCTGGCACAGAGATCGCCGCAGCTGTATTATAATTGGGCGGTTGTGCTGATGAATGATATATTTGTCCAGTGGTCTTGCAAATAATAGGTCAGAGCATTTCTGTGGGGATGTAGAACACAGATGCAAAATGGTGCAGATAACTGTAGCGTAGTTACTTGGAGGAAAACAAATACTCAGCAGAGATGAGCTTGCTGTTGTTTGTATTCCTGGGGTGAAAGAATCTAGTGGGTCTGGCTGAGCCCAGCATCGCTCCCTGTGCCCCGTGTAAACAAGGCTGGAGGAACCCATTTCATAGCTGGCAAACCCATATGCAGAGTTCCCAGCAGTGAGGACTAGCCTCCAGCATACCCCTCTGATCTCACAACAGGAATACTTGTGTTACAGCTGTGGGAGCAGACTGGCGTTCTGTCAATGTCTTTCCGCCTCCTTTTCCTATGTGTCAAGCCTTTGGAGTTGGTTGCGGTTTGCACGTTGAGCTACCAGGAAAATGGCTGGGTCCAGTCAATAGCTGTATTGTTACACATTCGGGGAAGCTTCTTATGTTCAGACATTTTCTGGGTATCCCTTGGTCTCGTAAGAAGGTGCCAAAGTCAGTGAGAGCTTTCTTGTGGCAGTTTTAAGGATTGTGGGATGCTGTGGGAATTCAGTTTGCCAGCTTGCACCCTGGAAATCATTTTTGTTCCTGAACCAAACATTGACATAAAAATGAAGAACAATTTCTTTCTGCAGCTTAGGGAATAATAAAAGAGATGCTTCAGATAAACAGAACTAAAAGAAAACCAAACACGTAATTATCCATGTTTTAGATCCAGTTCCAAGAGGTTTTATGTGTCATCCAGCTAACTAGCTGTCAGGATGCTTACACAGCTTTTTAGGTGTGACTCTCTTTGAACGCTGCGCTCCTTGAAGAGAATCTTGATGTCAGGACAGTCTGCTTCTCATCGGCTCATTTTCTCTTTGGGTTTTTCATTTCAAACCCTCCCACTAAGAGCGATGCATAATTCCTTTTTTAATCTGACTATCAACAACTCCTAGAGCCTTTTTGGCCACCTCAGCCTATTTTTAGAAGTACCGATTCCCTTCGGGTCATAGCTGAGCCAAACTGTCTTTGTCCTCCAGAGAATAAACAGAATAGGTTAGCAACTGTCCAGATCCTCAAACATAAAAAAAAAATCGTTAATCTGTTGTGTCAGAAGTGTTCCTTTCAACCAGGGAGGTTGGTTTGAAACCGTGATAAGTAATCTCTGGTACTTGGAAGCTGATTAGTCATAACAGTGTATCAATAAAGATAACAGCATTTTCTGTGGATATACAACAGGGAGTAACACACGCGGTTCACGGCCCGTTCTGGATCTAGGCTTAGGTATGGTGGCAACCAGCCATTGCTGTAGGGGATGACTATGGCCAAGCTTGGCTTTGATTGGTGCTGTTGTAATTTTGTGACGCACAAAGATACCCAAGTATGTACCCTGGCATTTTCCCAGACAGTATCCATCTAATTTGTTGGCCATTTCTATTTTGCTGTCTTTGGGGTAAGGTCTGTTTCTACGTACTTGCATGATGTGTAGCACACAGAGGTGCTGTCCCCTGAAGAATCCATTGAGTCCTACTACAGGGTGCTTCAAGCACTGATCATGGAAAGACCCACCTTACTATTTTAGTTCCACACTGCGCTTGAGTTCAAAATGACAATCTCCAGGTCTTCTCATGTGGGGTCTGGTCTTCTGGTAGGCAGCACAAGTCTAGATTTACATTTGTTGGAAATGCACCTGAAGGTTCTCTTTAGCATTCTGGATAGTAAACTCTGAACACCACCTGCGCTGTGAGATGTGGGTTGCTGGTGTTTCCTAGTTAGCTGAATGATGCAGCAATGAAACACGTCAGTTGGAGGCCTTGGGGGAACGTCCCGAGCTGACACAAGACACAGAGCATGGAGCTGGGGCTGAAGTATGACTCAAGCTGGGAGCTTTGTGTGCCTGTGACCTGGATCTTCTAGAAAGGCTTGCCTATGTCTTGTGTTTCCTACTGATGCTATTAACCAGTCCTCAGTTCTCCTCTCATGCTGCTTTGTCAGGGATTTTACCCATCTGTTAGCAGGACGGTGAAAATACACCAACTGCAGAATAGTTTAGGCTGGAAGGAACCACTGAACATCACCTGGTTCTCTCATCACCCACATCCCTTTCCCCCCATTGCAGGCTGTGCTCCTTGCTTGTGTGAGGTTGCTCAGGGCATGCCCAGCTGTGAAGCCCAAAGCAGAACATGAGGTCCACATGTGGTCTCAAGTGCTGAGGGGAGCAACTTCCTCCCAAAGCTGCCTTTGCTGGTGCAGCCCATTGTGTCATCAGCAAGCACAATCTCTTTGTTTTAAAATGACTTCTCTGCACAGACTCCATGTTTTGATTCCCATGAATTAGGAACTGGAACAGTGCTGTCATCTGGGATTTGCAAGCATTTTGCATCGAATGCTAAAACAAGAATTGTTGGCCCTCATTCAAAAACTTTAATTTTGATTTAATATTTCTCTGGTTCCCTTAGGTATTGTTTGATCTGTGTCTTCAGGAAATAGATACTTCAATGCACAAGCGGCCCTATTAATTGCAGAGGGATTGCTTGTCATGTAAAATCATACTTGACCTGAATAACGATACCCTCTCTGCTTTTTGCTGTGTGCAGGTTACAAATTCCCTATCCATTAACACAGAATATTTTTATACAGTAGGTGATTTACTCAGCTATGTGAGACTATCAGTGTCTGTATCTAACAGGGAAAGTTCAGAGGGGTATTTTTCTGTGCTTTAAACCTACGGAAAATTAAGAGAAAGTGTTCTTGAAAGTGTGGTGAAGCTTTCCTTGTGTAGAAGCACCTTTACGGTTTTGTCAC